TATTACAGTCACAGTAACTGCTGTTTGCATTTTGGGTTATTGTCCAAGTTATAACACATACACATTACCGTCACAGTGACTGTTGTTTGCATTTTGGGTTATTGTCCTACTTATCACACACACACAATACAGTCACAGTAAGTGCTGTTTGCTTTTTGGCTGTTGTCCTACTTATCACACAAACACATCACAGTCACAGTATCTGCTACTTACATTTTCCCTCGCCTTGTATCGATAGGCTTCGTATGGAGTGAGTGACCCAGAGTATGCCGTGACACAGTTGGCACAGACCACCATGCGTTCGGAAATCGGTAAACTATCACTTGACAACATTTTTCGCGAGAGAAGTAGTTTGAATGAGAGCATCGTCCTAGCTATCAACCAGGTATGAAGGGCAAACTTATACGTATGTAGATACATACATCGTTCATGTTCTATGTACTTTACGGGTGATGGTTGCATTCGAATGTATGCCTTGTGTTAGGACCGTGTAGCTGTCACTGTTTGTGTTGGTATGGTATCTGGTCACTGCCTTCTATTGAAGTATGTTGGTTGTTGTTAGAGGTTGGTTCGGTGTGTGTGTGAAAGACAGTCTTGCTTTGTGTTATTATATATATCTATATATATATATATATATATATATATATATATAGGTTTAAATATTACTGTATGTATAAAAATATATATATATATACATATATATCTTATATAACACATGCTCATATATATGTTTGTGTCAACAGGCGGCAGCGGAATGGGGCATTGCGTGCATGCGATACGAAATTCGCGACATCCAGTTACCTGAGAAAGTGGTTGAGGCCATGCAGATGCAAGTGGCCGCTGAGCGTAAGAAGCGAGCGTCTATTCTGGAGAGTGAGGGTGCCCGTGACTCGGCTATCAACAGAGCTGAAGGTGACAAGCGAGCGGTCATCCTGCAATCCGAGGCTGAGATGAGCAACCTCATCAACCTGGCCAAGGGTGAAGCTGAGAGTATCCGCGTGCGCGCTGAGGCGACGGCACAGAGTATTGAAGTGGTACGTGCACTGTGTGCGTAACTGAGTGTCTGTGCGATTGTGTGGGAGTATCTGTGTGTGTGCGTGTGTACGATAGTATCTATTTGTGGAATTTATATATATAAATATATATGTATGTATATGTGTGTATGTGTGTATGTGTGTGGTCTATATATATAAATATATATATGTGTGTATGCGTGTGTTGTATAATATATCAATACATTTATATGTATGTATATGTATATTG